TAATAGGTACCGCTTATGGCATCTTACAAGCATGCTAAAACAACAAAAACAAAAACATTTTTAAGCACATCATTAAAAACAATGAAACCAGGCATGGCCAAACCATTATTAAAATTAATGAAGTATATAGTTAAAATAATTGCAATAAACTGAACAATATTTTATGCCAGTTTAAAAAGATGTGTCCTCACACTCTTCCTAAAAGAAGCAACATCAGACTTTAATGACCTGAAAAATAAAGATCTCAAAAGAAATCACTGAAAGCATGGTGGAAAAGAGCAATTTCCATATCAAATCAAACCTCACCAAGTTCCTTCATGTAATCATCAAAATTTTCACTAGATGTAAGTTTCCAGCTTCCTACAAATTTGTTGCACATCCTGCGGGTTTTGCGAAGTGGCTCCTTGGATGAACAGCAGTGAAAGGAACTGTTCTTTGTCAGGCACAGACTGACTATGCAAGCCACTGTCTTTTTAATAGAAGCCCAAGAAGCATGGTGGCCAGAGCCACCCAATACAGAAAGCCAACGTCAGAGGCCAAACAATGACTACTTTGTCCCAAGCCCTTCACGTCAGTACCAAGGCTAGCAGCATTTGCCTGCCACTGACTCCTCCATTATGACATAAAGGCAGAACAGTTTGGAGGTTGATGTGGTGAGCTTGCTGCTATTATGCCAGAAGAGAGGTCCGGCACGATGCCACTGTGCAGAACAATATTTGATTTTGAGGAGCGTCTTATGAGGAAGAGTAGCGGATTGGATGTTTTCATGAGAAAAGTAAAGGCCTTGTGTTCAGGGTGGAGAGACAAGTGATCTGTTGATGAAGAAAACATAGAAAAATAATTTGAAACATGTTTTTAAAAAGAAAAAGAAAAGAGATCATTCCAACTCTAGAGGGCTCTCATGAAAATTTAAAATTTAAAACAGGAATTGTATTGTATTGGGATATTCCTTTATGCAACTGTCTGAGCCTACAGAAGATAAAATTGTTCAGTAACTCATATGACTCCCAGGTAAGGTATATATAGGACTGATGCCCATGGGGCTTTCATTATCACTTGGGAATCTTTACTTGCTGCAGTTCATCTGTACCTCCATTGTCCACAAGTTATGCTTTTCCCACTTGAAACAATACAGTGCTTTCTTCTCTTTGTGTAGGCTGTAGCCCACGTGACAAATGTCACAGACTATCTTTTGGTCTGCTCCCTTGCTGTTTCCTTCAACATACCTCTCCTTACCTAGGTTCACCAGGGAACTTGCCTCATTTCAAACAAAACCATACTAGTTCTACTGAGTGGACATTTTAAAAAAGTAAAACAAAGTGTCACTCTGCACATTAGTGCTGGTGACCAAACACACCCTTCTGAGGAGAAAAAGAAAAGAAAAGCTCCCCCCCCTTTCTGAGAAACTGTAGCAGAAATGGATTGTGTACAATGGATGGGGAGGCCATTCTCTTGGTTCCACCACCTTCCCAAACCAAATAGTGAGGACACAAAAGAGGACTTTCTCAGTGGCTGCTCCCAGAATTTGGAATGTGCTGCCTCAAGAAGCCAGATTGGTCCCCTCTCTCTTCTCCTTCCCATGGCAGGCAAAGACCTTCCTTCTCATCCAGGCATGTAAGCTATACAGTAAGTGCCTCAGGAATGCTTTGTTTATTAATGTACAGGTTCTAAAATGCTTATTAAATGTTTTATATTGTTTCAAATCTTGATATAGGTTTATTGTTTTTAATATTATATTTAAATGTTTTTTTAAAAAAGAAGTGAAAGGAGCATTTTTTCTAGGATCATTGAAATGAACTTGTATCTTTCCTCAGTTTCACCAGAGAAGGCACCTTTGAATTCAGTTGCAATGCTGGTCCAGCTGAAGAAAATATATAGAGTTGAAAGAAACAGTTGAAAAATAAAGGAACATAGATCCTCTTTGTGACTAAAAGCTAGAAAAGATATTTTATTATTTTATTATTATTTCCATGCAGAGACATGTGTTAAGAAACAAAGGATAGTTGAAGAAACACCAATTATAATTTTCCTCTAATATGATTTTGTCAAAGGGTGTGAAATATACTGAAGTTTGAATGAAACGCAGCCCAAAGCATTACAGAGTCATTCAGTATTATGAGTAATTTAAGAGAAGGGGTTAGCCAAGAGAACCTAGAGTGTTTTGATGAAACATACAGTTTATGTGATTCAGCAAGAGAGATGCTTTAAAATATCATTACTGGACATGGAATTGTTACCTGTCCACAAAATTTATTCATTTATTTCATTTTATATAAAATATTTATATTGTGCTTTTCTCCTAAAATGGACCCAAGGTGGCTTACAGTACAGTGGTGCCTCGCATTACAACATTAATTTGTTCCAGCAAAATCGCTGTAGAATGAAAACGTCGTAATGCGAAATTAAAAAGCCCACAGAAATGCATTAAAACCCAATTAATGCGTTCCCATGGGCTTGAAACTCACCGTCCAGCGAAGATCATCCATAGCGTGGCCATTTTCGCTGCCTATGCAGTGAGGAATCCATCCCAGAAAAGAGCGGGGAGCCATTTTTTTAACCCGGTGGCCATTTTGAAACCACCGATCAGCTGATTTAAAATCGTCATTTTGCGAGAATCGGTTCCCGAAGCAGGGAACCGATCATCGCAAAGTGAAATTCCCCCATTGAAACCATCGTAAAGTGATCGCTTTTGCGAACGCAAAGAGTTCGTCGTAATGCAGTTTCATCGTTAAGGGGAGCGCCCGTCTTGCGAAGCACCACTGCATTAAAAATAAATAATATTAAAAGCTAAAAAAAATTATTACAATATTGAAAAACAGTTAAAATATTAAAGCTAGATAAAAACAATATTGGAAACACATTAAAAGCAAGGAAAAAAAATACTACAGTCCCATTATTTTTTTAAAAAATGTATCAGACAACCAATCACTAAGGGAGAGCATGTCTGAAATGAGAGGTGTTTGTCTGCTTGGAAAAGGACAGTAAAGGAGACCAACCTGGCTTCCTGAGGGAGGGATTTCTAGAGTCTGGGAGCAACAACAAAGAAGGCCTTATCTCATGTCCCCACCAAACACACCTGTGAGGTTAGTGGGACCAAGAGAAAGGACTGCCTTGATGACTTTAAAATTTTGGCAGGCTCATAAAGGAGTGGTCGTTTGACCAGATAGGTGGGGTATGTATAAATAAATAAACAAATAAACAGAGATGCAGTCTTTGAGACAGCAAAAACCAAGAAACATTTAAAGCTAATATAGAGGTGTACTATCAACCCTTTGCCCTTGCAACAAACAATGATTGCAGAGCCTGATAGTCTGATCTTTCACCCACAAAAGCAAGAATGGGCAACTGCAGGGTAGCGCATGGCTAACCCTCAGGTGCACTGATGGCCCTAGTTTTCTCCTATTGCCTTGCTGTCCCAAGTTGATACCCTCCTATCTCAAAATCATAGCAATTCTTTAAATTGTGTGCCTCTGCATTAACATGAAGTATGTGGAAAGCATGCACCTTCTTTTAAAGCCAGCTCATTGGAGGGGACCAACATAGGTTCTATCAAAAGGGAGCAATATAGCCTGGAAACAGCCATCAGTAAAGTCCGTAATTCCTAACTTTGGTGGGACAGACATTCTCAGTAGGGAATATCGTAAGTGTATTGAGGATAATACCCTTTATTGACACTCTCTTGGAACATCTAAAACAGTCTTTTTCAATGTGATATTTAAGTCAGGGACACCCTAAGTTGCAGCCCAAATATCTGGAGGTCATCAAGTTGTTCAGTGCCTCCTAGAAATTCCATGGAGCTTTAAGAAAATCTCAAGTTATCATCAATAGGTAAGCATGTCAAGAATGCAGGCCCCCAAATTCAAAACCTCAGTGGCTTTGGGTATCACAAGCCAGACTACCATCTCTATCTTGAGGCAATACAAGGCTTATACCTGATGCTATGTACCAATCCCAGTGCACATATCCTTGATACATCTACCTCCTGCAAGTGACTGTTACCATCATTTCAGTGCATTACTGCACTCTTAAAAAGACAAAATGACTGCTTTATGTTCAGTTTATCCCATTTAACTCAGTACTGTCATCACTGTGTATCAGTGCCTCTCTAGGCTTTCAGGCATAGTCCTTTCCAGACCTATATGGAAACAGGAAGGATTAGATCCAAGACCTTCTGCCTGCATCCTGCATTACTGAGCTGTAGCATTTCTACTGCCTTAGAACATAACTACCGTGTTTCCCCAAAAATAAGACAGGGTCTCATATTAATTTTCGCTCCAAAAAACGCATTAGGGCTTATTTTCAGGGGATGCTTTTTTCATGTACAACAATCTACATTTATTCAAATACAATCACGTCATCTTCTTCTGGTTGCTGCACAATGGTGGAGGGTGGGGTTTCACTTACCTAGGGCTTATTTTGGGGGCAGGGCTTATATCACGAGCATCCTAAAAATCATACTAGGGCATATTTTCAGGTTAGGTCTTATTTTCGAGGAAACAGACCCATTCCATCTTCTAGTTGGCTCAAAATGATGATCAGAGGCATCTCTCTCCATCTACTCACTATACAATAGTATGACAGTCTACTAAACCAACATATTTCTTCAATTAAGGAGCTACATGCCAATGTCATTGCAAAGGAGGAAGGAAATAAAATCAGAATTGGTACAATCTGCCATTGAATTTGGCTTCCCTTCTATTGATCACTCTTATTGTACAAGTTACAATATTTATGGCCACTAGTGCTTATACTGGAAGTAAATTTTGGGTTTTCTGACTTCTAGCCTATATAGTGGCTGATGGGAAGCAGTAACATCTCTGCATCCTTCTATAGCTGCGAGTTCACAATGGGGGCATATGGCTTATGATCAGGGCTGGGACAAAGAGTTCCCACAATTGTGGTTCACGCATGCTCTGTTCTGTCCACAAACCCATCCTGACACATGCCTGCCCCTGTTCTGTCCACAAACCCATCCTGACACACCACCATTACCTTCTACACTTCAGATAAAGAATATAGATCTTTTTCTGAGCTGTACAAGATGCAATCTTATACTAGGCCAGATAGTCATCTATTCTCTAGTTCAACTGTGTATTCTGCCTGAGACCTCATGTTACTCATAAGCCTTTCTCATCCACACCCAAGATCCTTTTAATGTCTAACGCCAGGGATGGAACCTGATTTCTATATGCAAAGCAGATACTTTGCCCCTAAGCTATTGCCCTTCCTATTTAAATGAAGTCACTTAATCCCTGAGGTTGCTTTACAAAGCATATTGAACCCAATGACTTGTCCCAGATGATTTACTACAGCTGCCTTTTACAAAAGAAATGCCCTACATTCAGGATCTTACAGGAGAATACTGCCTTCCATTTCTAACCCTTTGTTTTTTTATCTCATTTCTCTTTTTTTGTGTACAAGGAGCATCCAGCCAGAAGCTGTTCTCATGTCCTGCTTAAAACAGTAAAATCTGAAAAGTCCTTGTCTGTAGTGGTCAAGTAGACCTGATCACGGCAACTTTTAAACAGACATCTCCTGGTGCTCTTAGTAAAGAGAGACTGCACAGCTACTGTTTTTCATTCTATACAGTAGAAGATTTTTCTATGGTAAGAAAGTAAAAAGGGGGGGGGGAGTTTACAAATGGAAAACAATTTTCCTTGCCATTTATAAAACTCTGTCATTGAGGCAGGATAAGTGCACAATAAAAGCCAAAGATAGAAGCATCCTAAAAATCTCTTGTTTTCTGTTAGAAAAAAAGATTAATTGTCCAGTGCCAGCCCTGTTGATTTATGCAGAGCAAAGATAACTTGTGGTAGGGAACAGGTAAAGAGAGAGAGAAGAAAAAAGGCAAAATATTGCAGACTAACAGTTTTATTTCAGTGTGAACTTTTGTGGATCAAAATCCAATCCTTCAGACACAAGTGGATTTTGATCCAAGTGACTGCACAATAATAAATTCGTTAGTCTTTAAAAAAACTGTAATGTTTTGCTTTCCCCTGTTTCTTTGGCCAACACATAGCTACTTCTTTGGAAATTGTGCTATTACTGCTCACAACTTTTTTTAAATCAAGTTTTGCTCGTTAAGAGGTTGTTTTTCAATTCGGAAGATCTTAAGACACAAGTGGATTTTGATCCAAGTGACTGCACAATAATAAATTCGTTAGTCTTTAAAAAAACTGTAATGTTTTGCTTTCCCCTGTTTCTTTGGCCAACACATAGCTACTTCTTTGGAAATTGTGCTATTACTGCTCACAACTTTTTTTAAATCAAGTTTTGCTCGTTAAGAGGTTGTTTTTCAATTCGGAAGATTCCACAAGCAGGCACCTAAAAATCCACCTTGATTCAACTTCCAGAATAAAGCACGATTGCAAGATCAGGCCAAGACTGTTTGTTTCTCTCTCGAGATAAGGATTTTTATTGAATAACCACAAAGTTTAAGATTAGATATAAGGATGCTGTGGAGCTAGTTTCTCAACAATTCAGTTCTCTAAAGAAAGCCATCGTCTTCACTTCACTCCTTGAAGCAAGCTGCAGCCTCTGCTTCCGAGTCCAGTTCACTTCACAGAATGGCGTTTTCATGCTTTCTCATAGATTCTAGTAGAGACAACATTGTTCATAACACATTCCTAGGAGGAAAACATTAGTGTCAGCATCAAATCAAGAATGCTCGATAATTTTATTTAAGACATACAATGAAGAACATACAATTGTCCACAGAAGATTTGCTACGGTACAAAGTTAGGCTCCTCCAGATAGAATATTTGTATCTGGATTATTATTATTAATGATGATGTTGGAATTAAAATTCTTTTTTGTTTTCCTGGAAAGGAAAGGAAAAAATTTTCCTTTTGGAATTAAAATTATTTCCTGCTTGTACTTGAGAGTACAAGCAGCTGACTCACCCCATCCCAGCATTGTTTGTGTCTGCACAGTCCAACTGCTGTGCATGTGAGGAGAGGCTACTGGTTAGCATGATCATAGACTGAAGCTCACCTGAAGCAACTTCTACCAGTGCTAACACCATTTCCTTCTCAATTACTTTTGCCCAGTATCCAGCCTCTTCATTTTGCTTTGCTACCATCCATCACTTTGCCTTTTACAGTGGGCCCTCGACTTACAGACGGCTTGACTTACAGACTTTGAGTTACAGACTTCTCTGGCTGCAAAATTTAGATTCGACTCGCAGCCAGAGAATCAACTTACAGACCAGAAAAAACCAAAATGGAATAAAAATAGAATAAAAACCTCTGGTTATGGGATTAATCGGTTTTCAGTGCATTGTAGGTCAATGGAGATTCGACTTACAGACTTTTCGACTTGCAGCCACCATTCCAATACGGATTAATTCCTTAAGTAGAGGGTCCACTGTATTATTTCTACCTAAATGCCTCTCAAAAGTGAGGTAGAAAAACAGCTCACAGCTAACTTGCTCCCTCAGTGGAGTGCTGACATAAGGAAGCAATCTGGACAGGAATTCTAGTAATCCCATACTTTTTAGGAAGGAATGGGGAAAGGGCTAGAAGTTGCTCCCATCTGGACCGCCCCCATGAGAAAAACTAAAAATGAGTAAGTAGCCAGCATCTAATCTAGGAAAGATGTTAGGATTATAGGAGCACAGACTTGTTCTGGATTGATGTCACCAAACCCAAGTACAACTAAGGATTTAGCTATTGATCACTTAAAATTCCATATCCAAATTTAATCTAATCAAAAATACAAATGGTTTCAGATTCAGGAGTTCTCCAAACACCAATGATGGGATAGGGCATCATTGTGTGGAAAAAGGAAACTACAAATACTGCCATCACAGCTTGCTGAAGCAAATGCGGAGGATAAATATAATAAGCAAAATATGCCTTTTATGGTATTTTCGTGTGTTATAACCAAAATTATAATTTTAACCTGTATTTCATTACTTTTCAGCCCCTCTTTTGCTGGAAAGACAGAAATAAATAGAACAAAAATAAATATCAAAAGGAAAGTTTATATTCAGTTTTATATTTTGGGTCTTCAAAAAATAAGTACTCTCTCAACATTTTACTAAAAACATTGCCTTAGATTTGTAAGTGTTTGTAAAGATTTGTAAAACTGCATTTAAAGCATGCTGTTTTGTTGTCAAAAGTGCTTTGATATTTGCATCTCATGTCCCAATAACCTAAAACGCAAAATACTCTTGCAGGAAAACACAGAGCACTCTATGTTGCTCCCACATAAGAGAAGAAAGGGTGCCTTGCATTTATTTATTATGGCTATAAATTGCCACTCCTTCAATAAACTCAAAAGCATCAAACATATTGTCACAATCACCCAGTGAAGCAGGTCAGACTAAGAAACTATAACTACCCTAAGGTGAATTCCGTGATTTCTGTATCTGAGTGGAAATTCTGAATCCACTCCTAATCCAACTCCAATTCTGACTTCTAATCCAACTCCAGCCATTGCCTCTTTGATTTAGCTCAAAATTTTGTCATTTTTTCTTCTTCAACTTATTATAAATGCTGAAAAACAAGACGAACTCACCACAATCAGCTTTCCATCTTCTACTTTTCTTTTTATTGTGGTCTCTTTGCCATCCCACCTCTGCACATGATTAAGTGTGCCATTGTCTAGGGTCACAACACTCTGCCAAGAAAAGGGCCATTATTGGGTCAGCATTTTCCAGTCAGGGAACAAACAAATGCAGCACAACCCTGAAATCTTAAAACCACAGTGCCAAGTTAGGGTTAAGGAAACTGGGCTCAGTTTTGGCACGTCGCCATCTGAACTGACAAACCATAGAGCTGGGGCCATCACTCCAGAGGCTGAAGTGCAGACAGAACAGTAGTTAGGAAATCATCTGTTGTAAGGATTGGGAAAGTAGATAGTGTTTGAAAATATGAAATCGTATTTGAACTTTAAATTAGCTTAGGAACACAAGGCATAGATATGAACATTGGGGGGGGGAGCCTGCATCTGCCAGATGTGCCAGACTACATGACTGCTTGGGGATAATGAGAATTTAGTTCAGTGTGAAAGGGCGCCTGGTTGAGAAAGGCTGTAGCAAAATATTCAAGGTTGCATACATATAGGTTTTTAAAAAATCTCTCAGTTGGAGGGAGCATTTGCCTGACTGGAAGGTTAGTGAGATGAGTTGCCTGGTTGCAAAGCCATAGGTTGGGGGTTCAACTCCTCACTGTGCCTCTCCAGAGAAAAGTTAGCCTGGTTAACCTTGAGCAAGCTGCCTGGTCTCAAGATACTCCCAGAAGAAGGGAACGAACAAGAACTTCTGAGTACTCTCTACCTAGGAGACTCTGAAAAGGGTTGCCGTAAGTTTGAAGCAACTGCATGGTCAGTAATTTTATTATATTTGCTTGACCGAGATTATACCATGGACAATTCATAAGGGTAGGGCTATCTTTGCTGCCTCAGGATTTGTCAGTTAAGCGTGGAACACTGACTGATCTTTGAATTCTTAGCACACTAGCAGCTTACCTCTTGATATGGATGGGGGTTGGTCCCGAAATGAGAAATTATCCGATCCATAGGCACAGAGCATTCAATGTATGTAACATTCAAGTGTTCCCTTCTATACGATTTGACTTCATTTCCTTGGAGCGCCGCTAATTCCCAGATAATAAAAGCTGTTCAGGAGTTATAGCCTAAAGGTCTCCTGAGGCAATTACCTACTTCACCTTGGATTCAAGTTGTTTAGGACACCCTCCCTTCCATTAGTTTCAGGGGAAAACAATTTTAATATTTATTAAGCACTTTTAAACCAGTTTAAAGTAAAGGTAAAGGTTCCCCTTGACAATTTTTGTCCCGTCGTGTTCGACTCTAGGGGGCGGTGCTCATCCCCGTTTCCAAGCCATAGAACCAGCGTTTTTGTCCAAAGACAATCTTCCGTGGTCACATGGCCAGTGTGACTTAGACACGGAACGCTGTTACCTTCCCACCGAGGTGGTCCCTATTTATCTACTTGCATTTGCATGCTTTCGAACCGCTAGATTGGCAGGAGCTGGGACAAGCGACGGGAGCTCACTCTGTTGCGTGGATTCGATCTTACGACTGCTCAGTCTTCTGACCCTGCAGCACAGGCTTCTGCAGTTTAGCCCGCAGCTCCACCACGTCCCTAAGTTTAAACAATAATTTCTCCCACATTAAACAACAGACACTCCCACACACCTATGGCTCCATCAGGAAGACACTTTAAGGTGAAGAACAGAGCTCACCTTTACTTTTCTGTCATCTGCTGTAGTTTCATCAAACTCTTCCCCCAGTTTGAAGGAAATTTCTGTGTTCTTGAGACTGCTCTCTGTTTTGATAGTGTAATTATCTCCATTAAACAATTTATCCCACATTAAACAACAGACACTCCCACACACCTATGGCTCCATCAGGAAGACACTTTAAGGTGAAGAACAGAGCTCACCTTTACTTTTCTGTCATCTGCTGTAGTTTCATCAAACTCTTCCCCCAGTTTGAAGGAAATTTCTGTGTTCTTGAGACTGCTCTCTGTTTTGATAGTGTAATTATCTCCATTGTGGCTGATAATTACATTGGGCTTGGCAACACCAGCAATCTTCCTAGTGGCAAAGCCCACACCTGAAAGTCAAACAAAACACCTTTAGGCTCCCTCATACTCCCAGAGTTATCTGCTAGGTCTTGAAGATCAGTAGAATTGGTAATGGTGGCAACATATGACAACCTGCAGCCAGCTGAATTCTATAAGCGAGAGTAGCAAAGATTGAAAATATAGCATGTACTGCTAGTAGGCAGAATCTGAAAGTTGCCACCACCCACCCATGACCTTGAAACATTACCTGGAACAGTGAGCACCTTAGTCTCAGCCATTACTTTAACATCCTTATAGTGAATTAATGTTAATGCAGCTAACATGTCATCTACAAATTACTCCCTGACATCCTGTTACATTAACTTAACTCTGTGTACTATAAGGCTTGTGATATCATCAGCCACAGCAATTTTTCAGAAACTAAACAATTTTCAAATCCCACTTCTGAAAGTCTGAGGCTTTTGTGGGATGTATTTCATGCTATTTGGGGTCCTTGAGGTAAATCAGCAAACAGCTACATGATCAGAAGCAATCCACAGACAATTCATGGAGGATACAGCTTAATCTCCTGAAACTACCTAAATGGGTGTCAGTCAATACATCTTTTGGAAAGCATTCCCACACTAATTAGCCTGCAATTAGCAGTTCAAGTAGACAAGCAATTCAACCTGCTAGGCTGGAGAAAGCATGTCAGAACCTAGAAGAGTCACTGAAAACAAGACTGGGTTAGATGGACCAAGGATCTGACTGGTACAAGGCACCATTCTCTGGTTCAATTATATTTTTTCAGTTGATCTAACTTCAGTACAAGGCACAATTCTCTGGTTCAATTATATTTTTTCAGTTCTTCGAGTTCTACCAGCAACTGAAGACATACATATACATTCCACTTTGTCATTTGATTTTCTGTACTAAGTGCTAGCCTTGGTACCACGTGCTAGCCTTTATCGTTGCTTTTAGTTTGTTGTAAATGTTGTGTTAAGACTTTTCTGCTGCAATTTGTTGTAAATGTTTTAATATTTAGTCATTGTTCTATATGCCTTATTTTTTGCAAGCTGCTTCCAGACCCCCTTTTTTTGGAGAGGAAAGCAGGGCATACATTTCTTAAATAGGTATTATACGAACGATGATCCACGTTTATTTGATACAATCTGTACCTGCTGTTGTATTCTTGTTTGCCCAAAGATAACCTCCATGAGCCTTAGCTCGCTTTAGCTTTAAGCTGTTTTGATATTTTAATATGCAATTAGAAAAATACACCCAGGCCACTGATCAGATAAGACAAGGAAAAGCAAGGAAAAAAAGAAGAAAGCGCAAAGTGTGCTGCTTATATACCATCCCATAGTGCTTAAAGCACTGTGCGGGTGATTTACAATTTAATTATACAGGCTACACAATGACTTTCCAGCTTGGGGGGGGGGCAGGGCGGGGAGCAATTTACCCAAACTCAGCCGGATGAAAGGTTGAGTTGATGGCACATATGTTTTTCCATTGCCCCTTTCATCACCTACATAGGGAGAAATTTATCCTGCCATGTTTAGATAGATTAATGGCACATGCAAAGGAGGAGGGTTTGGAAAGACTTTTAAATGATGAAAACTCTTTTATTACTAAACAAATAGCTAAATTTTGCTTATATTTGATTAAATTTAATATTAAGAAGATGAGTTAATTAGAAGGTTTAAATTCTAAATTAAATTTCAAACTTTTAATTTTGAATTATATGTAGATATTGTCTTATGTTATCAAGGTATTATCCTGTAACTGTGCTAGATGTATACTTATGGCTTTATACCACAAATAAAGTTCTTTTGAGTCAACCTTGAGCCAGCTGGGATTGAACTCAGGTCGTAAACAGAGCCTTGACTACAGCATTGCAGTTTAACCACTGCACCATGAGACTCTTTTTAAAGAAGTCATCTGCTACAGAGGTATATCCTAGTCAAGTGAATGAGACTGCTCTGAAGTTAGTGAGCTACAGCCACCATTACCATATAGCAGATATAATTAAATGTATTGAAGTACATTGCAATTAATGACCATCAGGAGCTGCCTGGGAACTATTAACAATAGAGTCATATGTTACATTGCAAGTTTACCCAGTTATTAAATCCAAGTATAGAAGTGTCTTGGCAACTTCACAGCTTGCAAAAGTGACTTTTCAACTAGAGCTCTCAAAATCCACTCCCTCCCAAACGGAGGATGGTCACTGGCCTTACTAGTTGGGGTGTTCTGGGGGATGACTTAAAAAGTGATTTTCCCAAGTTCTCTACAGAAAAGAAAGACAAGAAAGCTTGTCTTAAAGTTGAATTACTTGTCCATCTACTGCACATTTGCCTACTCCATCTGGCTGAAGCTGCCTGTGATTTTGGCACATGGCTTCAGTACCATCTGGTAGTAAATACCCTTCTACATGGAAAAAAAACAAACTTATATTCTCTGTGCAGAGGGTGTACTCAGCCAGAAGGTAAACACCTCCTAAGACTTGCTGCAGGCTTGACAAAAGTTAGAGAAATTAGGATCACATCCTCTTGACTATACTGTACATCTACTCCATAGTGAAATACAAAGGGGCAGCAGCTGTTTCCACTTAAATCTCTGCTTAAATGACTGTGATAAGAGTGTACAGCTAAAATTCAGCATGCATTTAATAGGAAGTCTAAATGAGTGAATAATGTTTAATGTTAAGAATCATACTAAATAAATTGTGCAGACTTTTTGCTTTTGGACTAGAAATCCCAGAATTCTTCAAACAACTCCTTGGGGAATTCTGGGAGCTGTAGTTCAAAAACACAAACTGCATCACTCTAGTGAATATCTATTTGGATGAATAAATAGACTATGTCTAGATGGGCGGCATATAAATGCAATAAATAAATAAATAAAAATAAAATACCAAGCAGGCATCCCTTGATTTTAAAAAAATTATCTTATTTCCAATTCCATTTTCAAGCAGTACCACAAACACAACTCATTAAAATAAGAAATTCTTTTGTGACACTGTTAGTTCCTGTTCTGGGGTATGGATTTTGAAATCCACGTGTCAACACAGCTTCCCGTTCTTTTCTTTCTGTATCCTTGCAGTCCATAAGAACCAGGTAATACTAATCACAACCTGCAACCACTGGAAGGCATCTTACAATTTTTTACAATACAGCTAAATACATGTTTCTGCTCAAGTAAATAAGTAGCAAGGGGCTTCTTTTTGAATTTCTGCAGTACATAATTTTGGTAGCAACACTCCAGAAAAATCCTAAATACAGTAGCCACTAGTTATCTATAATTATAGATTGAATAGTCTCTATAATCAAATGTCCATTAAACAGTAATTCCTTGCTAGATACACAAGCCAAATTATGTTTATTCATAAGGAAAGTTCCACCACACCCACAAACACTTACCACCTAGGAAAAATATTTAGGATTATTAAGCACAATTACAAGGGAGCTACTCAAAAAACAGAAATTAAATGAAAAAGCACATAAGCGACAAGTATGTGACCAGGCTGGGAAGTCAGCAGAAATAATTTGATTCAAACTACAGCATTCCACCCTCCTAGAATTCTCTTGGAAGCCTAATAGTAAACTTAGCTTTCAAACTATGAAGCTGCTATAAAGGTTTTTAGAATTTATAACTTAGTAAATGTTTGCCAATTTTTTAAGTCTAGTTTACAGCCCAACAACCACAGTCCTAAAACTGTAAGTGGGAGCAACATAAGTAACCCTTTGTCTTGTTGAAAACTATCAGTCTCATATAAAAAGTAAAGTTCATAATCATAAACTTATCAAACACATTTTTTCTTACCAAGTTCTTTCATGTATTCATCAAATTTCTCACTAGAAACCAGCTTCCAAGTTCCCAGAAATTGTTCACACATTGTGCAAGTTTTAGTCTCCCAAAGAAACTTCTTAAAGGTTACAAAGAGAGTACTAACTCTACTGCAGAGCCCAAGACTTTAAAAAAGAAGGCTTGAGCATGTGACTTTTTCAGATTAGCCAATAGCAGCAGAGGCTAGGAAGCCTAGTTCCCATTAGGAAATTTTCTTTCCTTTCTCACTGGGGCAGAGTGCTTCTGGCCACTGATATACAGAATGCCACACTGTCAGCATTTAGTTTAGACAGGCTCTGCCGTTGCAGTGAAAAATGCTGCTTCTCTGGAAGACAGTATCTTTATTCCACAAAAATTACAACCTTGTTCTCTATATTGATTTGCCAATCAATCCCCTATATGTCTAATTGTATTTGCTTTATTTTACAGTACAATCATATGCATCTTTAGTGTGCAGTAAATTCCCATGTGCTTAATGCGTTTACTGTCATGTAGGTGTGATAGAACTGTACTTTAAAATGATAATTCTGTCTTATTCTATACACATGTAATAAAAGGATGAGCTGGATAAGCATCTTTTAATTAGTGAAATTGTGGCCAGATACCCCTGCCCCAAAAGAAAAGAAAAAAAAAACTGGAGAAAGTAAGAGGAGAATTGAAGCAGGTGCTGTTCATATGCTAGCAACACCTGTTCAGATTCCCTCTACTTCAGGATTATTAAAGGTGCAGGGTGTGTGTGATTTCTTTTTGATATGAGCAGCTGAGGCAAGGGTAGGCAGAACTTAGAAATTTGTCTTTCTTGTTAATACTAGTTTCCAGAACTCCCGAAGCAGCATTGTCAGGGGTGTTATGGTCTGGAAAAGGTAATTGGTTGGATGAGTTTGAATCTGTACACCTAGGACAAGACATATACGAGTCATGGAAGGAAACACTACAGTGTTAGCACAGCAGTTTCTGTAGATGTAGTACTGTTAATTGTGAAACAAAAAATAAAATTAACAAAAATAGTGGGTGTTCATTTCTTCTCGAGCAGACAGAATTTCTTTTTGTGTTGTTATCATGTCAATGTGTCATCAGAATGCATGTTTTTATAAAAGAACTGATGCATTTTCTATTGAACACTGTAAAGTACAGCTTAACAATGAACCATGAAGTCCTCTTCGTTTAACAAAATGTTTTTTTCTGAAACAGAATGCTTTATTCCTTAATGATTCTGTAGCATACAGATACTGCCCCAGATAATGCTTGCTAAAACAATACATGGATGAAGCAAAGTGAATAGTGGTTCTGGAAAAAGAGTTCCAGGTAATCACAAGTAGTTCAAAGACAGTGCCGGATCTCAGAGCTGTTACAATGTAGCGTTAGTGTCCTATTTATGTCTATGTGACCCTATATCTGAAGATCTCAAGGATGGGGTAAAGCAGATGAAAATATTATTAGCGATGTTAAAAATTTAAGCTGTTTAAAATATATTAACATCAAAATAACTTGCAATCTCATATTTGAAACAAATGATTCAAATATGACAGAGAAAGTGTTCTTGGTCAATGATCACTTTAGTGTTACAGAAGTGACCTTGTAATCCCAACAACCATTAAAAATGGCAATGACTTGTAATTATACTTATTTGTAAGTCTGGGCTACTGTAGGACTCCTAGTCATACTGTCAGATCTTCTGTACTCTTTCTGAAAAGTGCCTTGAAGTGACTAAGTAACAAACAAGACAGCGTTTCTGTACTTTTTTTTTCCAATAGTTGTGTGGAGGATGAATTTCAGCAGGTGTAGTTTTCATAAAAACTTGCACCTGCTGAGATTTCAACTTACAGGCAATAATTAAAGTTACAGGAACCCTGAATTCTTTTTCATCTGGCAAATACAGGACTTCTAAGTGTGCATAGGATAAGAACCATAGACATCTGTACTTAAAAATATGTCCAACTGAGTTCAACAGAACCCAGTAGAGATTTTAGCAGGTGTCCCTGTCATGTAAGTTACACCGCATGAAATCCCTTCTTTTGAACTACTAGTAAAAGCATATTAGTACTGTCTTCATTCAGTTCTGGACACCTTAGACTAGTGGTTCCCAACTTTCGGTCTTCAGATGTTCTTGGACTAAAACTCCCAGAAGCCTTCACCACTAGCTGTGCTGGCCAGGATTTCTGGGAGTTGCAGCCCAAGAACATCTGGGGACAAGGCTGGGAACCACTGCCCTAAACCAGTGGTTCTTAACCTTGGGTAATCTAGGTGTTCTTGGACTGCAATTCCCAGAAGCCTTCGCCACCAGCTATGCTGGTTGGTGCTTCTGGGTTATCCAAGGTTAAGAACCACTGCCCTAAACCACTATTATATTCACTCACTACCCTTAAAATTAAGATAACCAGGTTTTGTATAATTTCTGATACCTTATTTGGTGCCACTTACATAATGTTTCTAAAGAAAAATAGCAGAAATTTAACTCCAGTATGATATGTTGCAACAACCTAAAAGAAATGATGGTAGACTTCTGATGTGTCCTAATCCCTCTGTTTGGAAAGAAAATGATCTCTCTGAACTTTGTTCCTGCATGCCATCCCACTCCACCTCTCTTTTTGGCTCATACCTCTGACTCTTGCTGAAGTTTTTTTTTTCTTTTTTGTTAGAGAGGAAATGAGATTTCAGCTACACAGCTGCACTTTTATAGAGGGAAATTGTCCTATTATTCTTTGTGATAAACATATTTTGTTGATGTAGCACTTGGAACAGGCTAAGTAGCAAGGAAGCTCCGGGTCCCTCCCCCCTTTCTTTTTTTATAGCAGGACTCCTGTGAATTGAATACATTCATACCAGGAATTTTCTGAGAGGTGAGCATGTTGGTTTCTTGCAGCAAATACAAAGGAGAGTCTTATGTCATCTTAAAGACTAGCAAGTTTTATTTGACACAAATGAAAAAAGTTACCCATCTTGATCTTCAAGATTTATTTTGAGGGATGATGATACTCCTTTCCTAATCTACATGAATGAAGCTTGTGGAGGCATGTCAAAAGTTGAATTGAGCAGATGATGCCTAGCTGGATACGATCAGGAAGAGATTGGAAGTCACACCCATATTGCTCCATAAACCTAAACAGGCGTGGGGAAGAACATTACTTCCTTGCTTGGAAATAAAAATACTAGTGGCGCCAGGTTCCTACAAGCCTCTTCAGTTTGCAAGTTTGGAGCTCTGTTGCAGTTTTTCATTGAGAGCTAATCTCTCAAACTAAAGCATTAGCTTGCTATTTGAAGGTGATATTTCATAGATGTTTCTTTTATCCTTATTTACTAAGGGGCTCAAACTAACTCCTCATGCTCACAGCATAAACTATGGTGAAGTGTTGCTAATGAACAGCAACTGTGATAAGAGATTTTTCAAGCATTGTAAAAACCTTGCTGTGTTGAATATCTTTTCAGTGATTCACTTAGAAGAAAAAAAAGAAAAAAGCGTGCAAAAACATACAGTAAACATCCAGCAGCATCCTTCTACTTCGTAAAAGGCACTTAGTTTGCAAAAGATGGCCTTGATCTTAGATAAATCGATAAAATAGGAGAAATACTGTATAAAGTAAACATTTAAGACAAGATTCACACACAGATTATAAACTCAGGTGTTTCCCTTTTCCTGCCTATGAGGGATTTTAGGCTAGGATCGCTTGGTACTTGACGTAATTATTTATAATTAAATATCATTAGGAAGAAAGCAACATTGTTGCAGGCTTCCTTTTGACCACTTCAGTGCATGTATTATATTGTCATGCAGTCTTCCAGATTACTGCCACAGAGTCAGCAGCTGATGCTAAATTAGAAGTATGTAATGAAAAATAAAGTGGCAGACTATTTAATGTTATTGCTTCTTATAGGTCCCTCTCTTTTACTGCAGTGGGACAAACCAATACAGAAAATCAAATTAACAGGGAGAGCTATTTTGCTTTTCAGCTGGGTTTTACAAAGTGGTAAAGATTTTATAAAGAAATCACAATAAAACAGTTGACATTTGGCACTTTCCTATTGTAACTGGCCCCTCTGTTTCCCTGCTTACTAGGCATTTACAAAACAGTTGTTGAGTGATGACAGTGATATCACTGCAAAGATGACTGGACTAAGGAATGCACTGTGACTGAGAACACAATAAAATCTATCCTTTAAGACAGAGGTGAACCTCTTGGAACTGCACAAATCCATTCCAATGGGAAACTACAGAACTGTGATCCAATGAAAAATACATTCTTTCTCTTGTGGCTGGAATAGGGAATGTTATTTTGAAACACAGTAGGTATGAAGGAATACCAGAGCTTGCTGAATATACTGTATTGCTGAGTAAAGAGGTCCTGGATTGTGCTGTAAATAATGGTGTGTTGACAGCAAATCAGTGATATTGCAGTTACCTTCTGTGAAACTACAAATACTTCCCCTGCTGGAAATTAAACAATTTAATTAGCAAGCTAACAAAAAAAAACATAACTGCTCTCCCAATTCACTATTTGGCTGATTCTCAGATGCAAAGCCAAGAAAAGAATGTGAGCCTTGTGTTTTCTCCAGCAGAAAATAAAGGCTTTCCAGGGTACAGTAGGAGCAAACCAACTGTGGTGGCAGGGGGAAGCAAGAAATATAATAACCTGACAGAAATTCATGATGTCAGGAGGATTTAAGACTCAGAGGAAAACACCCCTTCCTTATTTGGAGGCGTTGTGTTGATATTTGTCCTTAATATATTACCGTATTTTATTCCTCAGATTGTACCAGTCCCCAAAAGCACCAGTTCTTGTGACTTTCTTGTTGACACAGGAAGTGCTTTTCATTTGTGGCCTCAAGGGTAATATAGCTGTATAAGTAAGTAATTTTTAGAGCAGCCTTGGGCAAAATGACAAGATTATTTTTCCAGCAATCAAAGGAGAAAATAATGAATGTTAACCCGCTGTGCAGAAAGAGTGTTCATCCATTTATCTGCTAATGCTTTTTAAAAATGTAGCTTTGGCCTAGGTGGTTGACTTGCTGATCTACTGTCTGCGGTGCAGAACACGTCTGTTTCTAATACACATATGTATAAATGCAGGTGTATGTGAAGTCTAGTTCCAGAGATGGACCAAATTTAAACCCATAAAATCTGTTGTGTTGTTGTTGTTTACTAAAACCCTGAAGTTCCCCAGCAGGAGCCAAATGTCAAGTAGCTAATAAGACAGGTGAAAATATACTAGAAATGAAGGCATGTGAGGCCTATGAGGACATGCTGAGTGCAAAGAATTTGTGATTATTAGCAAAACTAAATTGATCAGTATTTTTACACCAAATTCAAGTCTTGGCTGCTTCTACCTCCCCTCAATGTTGTTTTCAAGAGCCAGACCGACAAATTGGTTTTATTTGTTTATTAAATGCATTTCTATCCTTCACTCATCCCCTTGAGGCTTTGGTGACCACTGAATGGTAACTGTCTGGTTTTCAGGCTATCCTTCATCCACCTGCTTTCTATTTCTTTACTCACTGATGATACAACACTTTAAATACAACACAGTAAGATAAAGTGAGGCAAAAATAAGAGATAAAAATACCAACAAAATAAGTCTTTCCCCCCCCCCCCCCGCCACCAGCCCCCTGCTTTTTGTTCCTTTTTTTTTCATCTGCAGGAGCTGGACAATGGGTTCATTATCAGCATCATTATGTACTGCAGAGCTGGAAGGGACCCTATAGATCAGCGATGGCGAACCTATGGCACACGTGCCACAGCTGCCATGCAGAGCCCTCTCTGCAGGCACTGTGAGCCATTAGTTGCCAGATGGCTATCCGCAGCAGTCAAACCTGAGGAGGCAGCTGCAGCCATGGTGCTAGTGCCACGACAGGCGGCAGTCCAGGATCCGGAGCAGCTGGCGGGGGTTGGGCACAATTGGAGTGGATCCAGAGTGTGGTCTGGAGGTACCTTTGTGCCCAAGATTCCCCCTTCTGCTGCCACTTCCACTTCCACCCCCACGTGCTGGGGGGTCCCCTCCAGTTTGGGCACTCAGGCTCAAAAAGGTTTGCCGTCACTGCTATAGATCATCAAGTCTAGCCTTTGTCAAGGAGGCACAGTGGGGAATCAAATTCCTGAACTCTGTCTCCCCAGCCAGATACCTAACACACTGAGCTGGTGATGGTGATAGTTGCACTGTGTTCCCAGTGCTTCAGTTTGCCACCATTTTGTTGGCCAAAAGAGAAGGAATAGATGATAAAATGTTGAAATAGTGGTACCAACACTTGGATAAAAATTGCTTTTTTGAACTGCAGCTCCCAGAATCCCCCAGACGGTACGGCCATCCTGGTTGGAGGATTCTGGGAAATATAGGGTAAAAAACCCAACCTTCTCTGGTTCTCATGTGCTCCTAATGGACTGGCTCTGGAGAATAAGAAATGGGGTGAGAAGATGTAGACAACAAGCAAAATATAACCAGCCCTGTCCTTAGGTAAAGTGAAGCACATGTCTTAGCTGATGGTTCCATTGAGGTGGCAATGAAGTGGAAGAGGTTGCTGTATACTTTGCAGATTGCTCTAAATGCTATAGATTGGCCTGGCACTTTCAGGTTTGGCAGTGGCAGAGGTCCATCATTACTCTTGAATAAATATTTGTTTGCCCATTTAGGTGGCTTTTATAGAGGGAATGGAAAAGGGCCAGCAACATGTTCCTTATTCTGTCCTGGAGAAAATGTAACAGTGGGTATTCTCTGTAGATGACAGTCCTATGAAAGTTTGGAGCTAGCCTTGTGGCAGTATACCAAAGTTTGTTTTCTTCTCCTGCAAACACTCTCTTCACTTTTTTCCCATTCAGGATCTTTCCTTGTTGCTCTTCCATAATGACTGAGCCTTTTTTGGGAACCTGGAAACTTATCTCTAGTGAAAACTTTGAGGAATATATGAAAGAACTGGGTGAGCAAGCTTGTGTCACTGCAGAATAAGAAATAGTTGTCTTTTCAACAACAGCTAAGTTGTCTGTAAAGTGATGTGATTAATCTTGATTTTCACATTTTTTGTGTGACAGGAAATAAACCTTTATTTGAATAAGAACTCAAACAAGTACAGTATGTGGTTATCTTCTCATAACAGTTCCTAAAATATTTTAAACTGAATTTGGAAAATGGCTAATGGAGTAATTCAACATTCAGCAAAATTTGCACTAAGCCTGAGTTTCGATTGTATAAAAATCTTCTCTTACACTCCCACTGAAGGCCTTTGACAACATACAGGAACTAAAAGTAAAAACAGAGTACAGTACATGATTCTGTTTACATGACAGTCTAAGGCAGTAATCCTGGGAAGACCTTTTACAACCATATGTTATCTAAAATATACAGACATATATACACTCCATCCAGCGACACAATTCAGAGATGCCTAATCTATACACTCTTGTCAGGCCTATTCCTCAAGCCCCCTCTGTTTAGTGCTGAGCAAGGAAACCTCCTTATCTCTGATCAGCTATCTAAGGGAGAAACTGGTGTGGGCTAGCTAAGGAAGCTGAATGGGCCTTGTCTAGCATATGGGCCACAAGTTTCCTCTGTCTGATTTCCTGGCGTTCTATATACATATACACAGTGGTGGAAAATTATGTATTAAATTCCATGTGAGACTATTGTGTGTTTTATATAGAAATGAAATACTTCAAAGGATCCTGTCATTATTCCTTCCCAGGAAGATCTTTAAAATTGTGTATGTACCTATTTATCCCAGTTCTGCAGTTCTAAAATTTTATCAATTTATCTGGTTGATCTTCCAGAGCATAAGTACACAATCTTCTTCAGCAGAATCACTGGTTCAAAGCCACAAAAATTAATAAGCAGATTCTGCAGAATTGCTAAAGGGTACTGTTGCTTTAATGCTGTCTGAATTTTGTGTAAATTTCAAGTAGTGAAACATATTAGAGGATTTTCTTGTGTTTCTTCTCTTGTATCAAATAAAGTATTTCTTAGAATTTAATGCTCTGTAGACAAACTATAAACTTGAACTTGGAGTAATTGTATAGAACTTACTTTTGAGTAAATGTCTGGCTGTGATTCCCACTAAATGCAACAGGATTTCTTTCCATGCGAATGTGCAGATAATGACTTACGACATTATCTAGAAATGTTACAAGTTCCTCTACAATATAATTATTTGTGCCTTATGAAATAGCTGTAATTTAATATATTACTGTGAACCACATTTGACTCATTAAGCATTAGAATCTGGACCTAATCCAACATTCTAACCATTGTATCACAGGGCCTCATTAGAAGAGATGCTGATTCCTCATCTAAAAGTGGTGCACCATTATGAAGATAATATCATCTCTTTATTCCAACAGGGGCTTCCTTCAATCCACATTTAGCAAATTAGTTTGCAGTTGGGAAGGAGTGTACCTTTTCTTACATGTGTACTGTTTTAGATTAGCAGCATGGAAAGATTTGTGTGCCTGGAGTGATAACAGTGTAGAAGCACAGAAAACATACAGTACATTTGCTTTAACATGTGACCTGACTCCATACTGGTTTATTTTTGTCTCCTCTTTAGGAGTTAGTTTTTCCCAAAGGAAACTGGGCAGCCTAGCCAAACCTACTGTGATTGTCACCAGGGACAATGATGTTGTTACCATCAGAACAGAGACCGTCTTTAAAGTTAATGAGATCTCCTTCAGACTGGGCCAAGAGTTTGAGGAAACAACAATGGATAATAGGCATGTCAAGGTGATGATAACTGCTCTGTCTAGGATTTTTTCCCCATGTGTTAGGAAACAGGGTATCTTGACAATGTGGTCTGTTAATTATCAGAACTTCAAAGTTATCAGAACCTAAAGTTAAAGACACATTTTCTTTGTGTGGAGAGGAAGTAGGCGACAGTGATGGTCATTTAGTAGTGAGAAGTTGAAGGGGCAGTGCCCTTATAACCTTTCCCCTCCTGTGATGTCTTTTTAGAGTATCGTAACATTGGACAACGGTGTGCTGGTACAAGTGCAGAAATGGAATGACAACTTCACTGTTATCAAAAGAAAATTAGTGGATAATAACATGGTGTCGGTGAGTTTCTTTTTCCCAGTTAATTCCAGAAAGATATAAACCAGTGTTCAAGACATTTAGTTTCATGTATAACACTGAGTCACTGAATATGGAGGACTGCAATATTTAGTCAGGTGATCCTAGTGTCTTTCCTAGCCTTCTTCAGAGCCTTGGAAAAGTTACTTTGTTGGATTATAACTCCCAGAAGCCCCCAGCCAGCATGGCAGTAGGAGTCAGAAGTCCAAAAGGTAGATTTTCCAGAGTTCTGGTGAATTTGGTTGGGTGATGGGAGGTGTAGTCAAACACATCTGGATGGCAGCTTGGGGAGGCTAGCCAAACAATTAAAATAAAACTGTGTTCTTCCTGATTATTAATGCTGATATTATTTTATAAGGTGTCTGTGTTAAGGCACTAAGGAACATCAGGCATATTTCTAGCTGCAAAGTCCAACTGCAGAAGGTGTGTAGACTGAAGTTCTTATACTTAAATTTCCACCTTCTATTTAGTAACAAATGATTGGAGAGCCTTTCTACAGCCAGCATTTGTTCTGCCTTGTTTTGCCTCCTTGGTGACAGGATATTTTAGGATTTAGCAGGAATTGCATCCTATCTCTTAACTATCTACTGCTAAAATGTTCGAGCAGCATTATTATCATGGCTGTCATGGGCTTGGAGCTCTCTGGAGTCTATGCCAGGACTTTGCAGGACATTAGTGCTGTACTAGGACTTGCCCGTGTCTGGCAAACTTCTTCTATGTGCTTTCTTGATTGTTGTTTCCCATTTCCCATCTAAAATGCCTGCAAAGCACCATCATACTAAATTCCATTCCCAGTACAAATGACACTAAGTAAATAAAACAGGGTTTGGAGGAGGGTAGAAAGTGCTATGGGGAAAATGGTACAAAGGATGATAAGAACATTGTTTGGATGTTGGGGAAGATTATAACAAGATCAGCGCAGAGCCTGGTCTTTAAGGCAGATCAAACGCAGTTAGAAAGAGCTCTAAAACGGAGATACCTCACTGAAGCTACAGTTGAAAAAGGAAATGCAGTCCAGGGAAAAGAGGGGTTTTGAGATACTTTTCTCCCTGACAAGAAAGATTGCCTAACCATTTTTAACAGGAGAATAACACAAGGGTAAGAAGGCTTAAGGACCATGCTGTTTTCATTTTCAGGCTGTAGTCTCAAAAGCTGGATAGTATTAAAACAACTGCCTCTCTTTGAAAACAGCATGAAATGGCATTTTGCCTTGATGTCCAGCTTTTTGGCAGTAGTAGTTCACGCTGTTGTTTTTGCTAACAGCTACCATAATTGTACTGGAAAAACGGTACTGTGGTGTATAGTCAAAGGAAATGCAGAGTGGCCTAATATCATGCCCTTACTGTTACTGGCAAGAACATGATAATCACAAGAATGAGTGAAACAGTCGTTCATTACTTTGCAACAAATGGAAGGCTGCAGCATTTGTACTACCATCATTTCCTCCCTTTGTCAGGAGTTTACCATGAATGATGTCACCAGCACCAGAGTCTACACAAGAGCATGAAGACATGCAATCTAAAGATTACATTGTCCTGCTAATTATTTGTTTGCTGATGCACATTTGAACCTGGTGCTTTTACATGGAAATGAATAAAAAAATTTTTCCTGAAAAAGGAGTGTCATTTGAATCACTTCCAGACAGTCAATCCTTCATTAGTGTTTTTCTCTGAATAGAAAGCAATGATTGCACCAGAATATTACTATTTTCTTGAATGGCCCACCTATTTTTCACACGCATACTCAAAAAATAGCATAGAGGTGTACAGATTTGTGGGTTTTATCTATGCTGCCTGGCCAATTTTTGGATATGTAGTCCAACAACACAAACCCACACATCTCTATATAGTGTATACAGGCAGAGCTTTCCACATTAACAGTGAGAAATAGTTATCCTTTGTTGCAAGTTCAGTACAGTTCAGTACAGTACCACTAATAAAAAGGAGTTGTATATTCCCTGCTAGTTGTGCTTACAAGGTGATAAAACATTTTCCTTCCAGAGATATGATTCTGGTAGATCTTGGTTATTTAGCAATTCTACTTGTAAGCAAAACCACTGTTTACCTCCAGATAGCCTCTTGTTTGATTGTGAGATACATGTTCTTTCCTTGGGTTTACTGCCAAAAAATCCGCCTTTGATTCACACTCCCTCTACCCATTCACACATGTCCCATCCTTCTTACCTATTGGCTCCACTTTTTAATTTAAAATCATTCTTAGCAGGTGTCCAAATACACTTTAGAGTGAAATGCTGGAAAGGGACACCACTGGGCATTCTGGGGAAATAAATATGCCTGCTCATGCACAGTAATGCATGTATGTATACATGTGTGTGATATGTGCGATGACACAGCTATAGGAGTATTGGTGCTTTGAGAAGAGACAAAGCTAAATAGTAGAGACTGCATGTGTACATTTGTTTCATTTAAGCTTTTTTACTACAGGCATATTATCTGTAGACTGGTTGGATAGCTCAGTGAGTTAGTTACCTGACTGCAGAACCAGAATTTCAAAGTATAATGACCCTCTGTACCTCCTGGGAGAAGAGCCAGCTTGTGTAGCCTTGGGCAAGCTTCACAGTTCCAGGGCAAGCCCATAGGGGGACGTGAAAATGCAATTTGGACAAATGGGTTTGAGTCACAATTTGAGTGATTCCTCCACCGAAACTCCCAGTCATGTTGCTCGTGCAACTTGAGTTGGACTCAAGAGCAAGTCACAACGCGCAAGTCCCCATTCCTGCTTGACAATATGTAATTATTATATACTCTGTAAATGATGATGATGTTATGAGCTAAGATTCAAGGAATTAGTGCTAGCAGCAGATGTTGACTCTGCCAAGAAAAAGATGAAATGGTGTCACACCTCATCTGTGAATGCCTAAAAACTGTACAAACAGATTACAAAATTATACATGACAAAGTGGCAAAATTACTGCACTGGTCATTATGCAAAAAAAATATATATAACTGGCTAGCCTCCAAAGACCAATGGAAACATTAGGAAGAGAAAGTGTAAAAAAAATGACAAAGTCAAGTTCTTGTGGGACTTCTGGATCCAAACTGATAGACACCTTCAATGTTATGCACCAGGCATGTTAGTAATAGAATGAAGAAATGTACAGTGGTACCCCGCATAGCGAAGTTAATCCGTTCCGGATTAACCTTCGCTATGGGGAAACATCGCTATACGGATCCAAAAAACCCCAAATGGGCCCAAAACTTATCATTCTGCGATGTTTCCCCATGTTCCGGTGGCCATTTTGGGTGTTCCAGTGGCCATTTCGGGTGGTTCCGGCGGCCATTTTGGGTGGTTCCGGTGGCCATTTTGGGTGTTCCGGCCACTGCCAAACAGCTGTTCCCCCCTCGCAATGCGAAGAAACATCGGTATGCGATCGCATTAGCGATCGCAAAATCCGCATCGGTATGCGGATTCGTCGTTAAACGGTGCGCTCGTTATGCGAGGCACCACTGTATTGGTAACTGACATTGCAATTTCAGAATATGCCAGAGTTGAAGATAAAGAATTGGAAAAACTAACAAAATACAGCAATTTGGCAATTGAAGTATCTTGCTTGTGGATGAAACATACCTCAGTGGTCCCCATCATCATTGGGGTTTTGAGAACAATATAAAGAAATCACACAGTATTATAAGCAATTGTAGATTTCAGAAATGACATAATCAGAGCTACAAAAAAGGGTAGTATTAGGAACAGCATATATACTATGTTGATATTTAACAGATAATTAGGTTTTTGGTTAAAGCTTGTATCTGTTTTATATAATACCAGTCAATGTTTTTATAATTTTGATTGTGCCTGGTATTCTTGAAGAAGATTAGACTGAACACTTGAGTTCTTTTTCACTCACAACGAATCCATTATCAGTATCAACCGGAAACAATTTTCCAGCCTAGCACAATTGTAGTGTACAAGCAGCCAGTTAACAGAAGCCAGTGGTACTCTGTGACATACACATGAGCACACTTTTTTTGCACTATGGGTAGAAGAGGCAACTACTTCTGCATACCTACTGTTGCTCCTTGTTGTGAGATTATTACCCAGAAATCTTCACTGTGCTTCAACACAATCTCTGAATGCAAAACTAAGCAGCCTTAGCCCTTCCTGCGCATTTACAATTCTCTGAATAATCTGTCTCCATCTTCCCCTTACAGGTGAGGCAAAACTGCATGTGCAGATCTGTAACTAGCAATTTTGGCACCCGGGTTAGGCAGAACAAATTGTGCTGTTAAATCAACTTCACAATTCATTAAGTGAAAATAAAATTTTAAAAAATACTGCATTATACAGCTTACCAGAATCTCCCCTCCAGAGAGGATCAGCAGAAATGCAAGTGCCACCCCTCTTGTTCAACTCAGAACAGCAAACCATATATATTAATAATCCAATTTTTGTACTGTCCAACCCAACGGGAGGCCTGGTCTACCCACATCTAGCTGCCTCTTCCTTAGGACCAGAAAACTGGTCTACTGGGTGCCGAGTAGATCTGTCCCCTCTTGCCTCGATGAAACCTGGTATATCAACCAGTTGTCCTCCACAGTATCTCCAATAGCTTGTTGTACTCTGTGCATGGCTGGCAGAAAATGAGCCATATATCTCCTGGAGGCCTGTCTTACTGCCACATTTTCCTATTGAAGTAGGTCAAGGCACCACCTGGAGAAGGCATGTGTCCTGTAAATTCGATATTGTGGGGCAAAGCCCGTGTTGACCTGCCCTTTTTATGGCTCTGCACTTGCATGCCCAAATCACAATATATGGAAACAGTGGGATAAGAGGAGCTGTACCTGGTCTAGATTCTCCATTCAGCACATCCTTTAAAAGGTATGGGAGAAGCTCTAGGTTGCAACCTTCTAACCTGGTAATCCTGTTTAATTCGGGATCTTATGAGTTGTCCACAAAAAGAAACCCTCCTTTCTTTTTTCCTAAGTCCATCTTCTTAACACTCAAGGACTGAGATTAATGTCAGAGCTGCCTTAGCCATACTTGAAATCAAGATATTGTATACAAGTGACATGAAATGCAGCTTCGCTATAATTATCTGGCCAGAATGATTTCTGTAACATCTATTGGAATAGTAAACAGATGCATAGTACAATGTCAGCCTGGTTATTTTGGCACCTGAAGAAGAAGAAAAAAAATCTCACGGACTCTCCCTATGAATGAAGATACAGTAATAAGAAATTTAATTACAGTCTGCTGCTCTGTCATGGTACCTCACTTCTTGCTGGCTGGAATAGTTGCCTCACTCTGCCCCATTGCAGGACTGGCCTTGACATGTCACACAACTTTCCACTTGTGTAAATAAACAATAAAAATGGCTGTGATACTATAGGTACTATTAATTAGTGCTTTTAAACATCACAAGTGGTTTACCTTGTCAGAGGTGTGAAAGTTTTTTTAATTAACAAAATTGCTTAGACAGCATTTCTCAAAGTGTAGAACGCTGCAGTAATTTTCAAACGTATCAAAGCTGTTTGGAATAAGCTCTCATGTTCCTATAAATTGTTGACACGTCCTGCAAGCACTACAGTTGAAAGGAATCCTATAAGGCAACCAACAAAAACCAAAGACTGAGTTCTGGGAAAAAAGAAGATACCTTATTCCCTCCCTTCCCCACATTTCAAGGAAACTCCAGGTCGGGTGACCTGGACTAGTCAGTACCAAGGAATGGTGGAGGTATACTAATACAGTAAACTCAGTCTTCACCATGTATGTTTAATGTCCAGGGCGTGGGCAGTCCAACAGTAGAAACATACATATTTATTAACTTGAAATGTTCTTTATAAGGAAATATGAAACTGCTTGCAGCAGTTATGACACATATGGGTTTATACATTTTGGAACTTGACAGGTTTGGGCTAAACCTGATAGAATTGTTAAATCAAATTTTGTACATGACAATAAGTAATTGTCAGGATCAGTACCGTAAAGAGAAGCAAAGCTTGCAAGTATACAGCTGAGGTGATTGGAACAGCTGTGAATGTAACATTAAGATTGGTCATCTATGGCAGTGGTTCTTAACCTTTGTTACTCAGGTGTTTTTGGACTGCAACTCCCAGAAGCCTTCACCATCAGCTCTGCTGGCTGGGGTGTCTGGGAGTTGCAGTTCAAAAACACCTGAGTAACATGGTTAAGAACAACTGATCTATGGGATAAAACTAGCAGACCAAGCATACACAATCTGTGGGTTGTTGGTGGTGATGCTGGTTGGTGTATTCGTGGAGAAGAGTCATCTTGTTCCTCTGCTGGACAATCCTGGAGGAAGCCGTGTCTACAAGCTTGGAATTGAAGAGGAACTCTGGCTACCTGGATGGAACGTATGGTATACGACTACTGAACTTATTTACTGGACATTGACTCCGATATATGCACTAAACTCTGTGGAAACTATTGTGCATTATTTTGGGACTGAGAACAAAGACCTAGCTGTAAATATACAGTACCTGTATATTCTGTAAATAATACAATCTTTGCTATCAACACTACTCTGGTGCTTGGTGTATTCATCATCTCAGGAAAGATCTTTTTGGTTATCGCACCCTGGTGTGTACCTGTACTACCGCTA